AAAAAAATAAAATAAAATAAAAATAAAAATAAATAAATAAATAAATTTGAGTCTAGAGATCAGACATAGAGGATGTCAGAGATTCAACGCCAAGGAGGGGTTTACATAAGGGAAATTCTCTGTTGCTGGCTTTGAAGATGAAGGTCGTGTGGCAAAAAATAGCAGGCAGCATTTAGGAACTGAGAGCAGTCCCTGGCTGACAGCAAGCACAGACACGGGGACCTCAGTCTTATAACCACAAAAACTGAACTCTGCCACAACCACATGAGCTTTGAAGAGGACCCTGAGCTTGAGATGAAAAGCATTTAGGAACTGAGAGCAGTCCCTGGCTGACAGCAAGCACAGACACGGGGACCTCAGTCCTATAACCACAAAAACTGAACTCTGCCACAACCACATGAGCTTTGAAGAGGACCCTGAGCTTGAGATGAACATGCAGCCCAGCCAACACATTGATTTTAGCCATGTGAGACCCTAAGCAGAAAACCCAGTTATACCAGGCTTGGACTTCTGGTACTAAGAGCTAATAAATGGGTGTTCTTTGAAACCACTAAGCCTGTGATAACTGATATGGAGCAACAGAAAATGACTACAGTGCACCACTCTGCCCCACCCCCACTCCAATCCTCACGCCTCACCCCCACCCAGCCTCAACATATAGTGTGGTTTATTCACTGCCAATACCATTGCTTTTCAGCAGAGAAGTAAATGGCCTCCTCCTCCTCTTCATTTCGATAAAGCGCAGGGCAACTTGACACTGAAAGTATATCTGGGTCAGGGGAAGGCAATGCGTGCTGTGGGTGCTGGGCATGGTGAGCGTGCCGAGGGTGTGATGGGTGAGGAGCCTGTGGAGGAAGCTGAGCTCGCTGGGACTGCGGTGAAGATGGCACAATGCTGCGACGAGAGCGACACAAGCTACTGCTTCTGGCTAAGGGTCCAGCAGGCTTAGCCATGGTCCCTGAAAAACACAAGTAAATAAAAATGCTCATGAAGCCAATGCTCCCTTTATGGTCACTACAAATATGCACACAAGAACTGATGTCTAATATGTTATTATTTAATCTCTCTCTATTGAAGTAATTGCACAATTAACTACCATTCGCTACCATATACACTAGGAAAGTTAAGAAATAAGAAGTAAAAAAATGTAACAAAAATAAAAACAGGTCTAAAAAATAAATAGAAGCAAACATAAGCACATGAGGCTTTATATAAATCTACAATTACTAACCACAAAGGCTTAAAAATTTACCCAAGATAACAAATACTTTAATTTAAAAATCAACATAGCATAATTATAAAAAATCTGTATTTTATTGCAAACCTTTTAATGAATATTAATATTAAAATAGGAGAACTATCAGTATAAAGTAGGTTGGATTTTTACCAATAGATATCTCTTGAGATATCACAATTTACTTGAACTGCAAGTTTTAAATCAAGGAAATCACTTAAATATTGTACATACAGTCTCACAGCTGGTTAGGCAGAATTGAGACCAAAACTTGTTTCTTGAACACTGATTACCGTAGAACTAAATATAAGTCTTAGATCATCCTGCTTCTGCTACCAGTCTCAGTCTAGACCCAGGCAGGAGGTAAACAAACTTCCCCTACACCCTCAATGTCTCCGTTGAGTGGACGTTCCATTTATTTCCCTTAATTGAAACACAGCTCACCTAAGAACCACTTGCTCAAGCTAAAGCTGTTCATTCCTGCATAATTATAAGCTACGGCATCAGGACACAAGGTTGACAGCCTCATCTCTCCCCAGTATTGTCTGCAAACCCTTACTCCTACACCCTTTTATAAAAATGTGTTCCATCTGAAGCTCACACTACTAAGCAACATGAATCTTCCACCTCCACTTCACTTGTCACTTCCCAGTCATTCTCTCTCTTCCCAGTCCAACCAACCTACCACCAATGTGAGCAATTTCACTTGTAAGACCTATTCAACACTTTAACCAATCAAGGTTTTCATGTCTTCTCCCCTGATCTTTACCCTTACTCCACCAACCATTCTTGTGCCTTGTCAACATCATTCAGAACTGTTCCATCTTTGAAATTGTAAAGCAAGACATCAGACATTCACATTCTGACCACATTTTTATCTTTTTAGTTCACATATTCTGTTCCTTCCCCTTGTTAGTCCCATTGTTCACTCCAAGCTCAATAACCCTACTCTTGATTATTCTTTCTCTTGCCTTTATTTTCATCTTCTCTTTCTGCTTCCCAATAGCACTTAACAAATGCTGAAAAGACAAACCTAAAAAATGAAAAGGAAACAAACAACAACAAAAACCTTCTCTACCCAAGACTTTCTCAGCTGTCATATCTCCCTTTCTATGAAAAAAAAAATCATCTATGTTACTGTCTCTACTACTTCATCTTCACTCATTTGTCAAAAAAAATTGTAAAGTGCCTGCTTACACACTCACAATTACACTGAAATTATTCTCAACCAGGACATGATCTACCTCATAGTTGCTAAACAAAATGAATACCTCAATCTTTCCTTGACGTGACCAGCACCTGATGTTTATTCGTCCTTTCCTTGACTTCTCTGAGCACATTCTCACCGCCTTCTTAGCCTGTCCCTTAATTGCTGATTTTCTTCAAAGTTCTGTGCTAAGCTTTGTTTTATTCTTGTTCCATTTATTCTTCTTGAGCAACTTCATCCACTCTCATGATGTTATCACCATTTGTTATCTATAGAAGCCCAAATCTGTAACTCCAGGTTTAATCTTTCTCCTGAACTTTAGAACCTTATATCCAACTGCCTACTGGACACTTAGGATGTCCTACAGATGCTTAAATGAAATTCACCATTTTCCTCCCCAAACTCACTCCTTTCTTCCATGTTCCTTTTCTCCGTAAATAACATCACCTTGCACCCAGTTATTTGAACTGTAAACACAGACATTCTTGACTCTGCTTTCTCCATCATCTTCTATCTTAAATGAAATTCACCATTTTCCTCCCCAAACTCACTCCTTTCTTCCATGTTCCTTTTCTCAGTAAATAACATCACCTTGCACCCAGTTATTTGAACTGTAAACACAGACATTCTTGACTCTGCTTTCTCCATCATCTTCTATGTCTAGTTACATATAAAGTGTTTCTAATTCTACCTCCTTGATATCTCTCACATCTGTTCACTCCCCTACATCCCCACTGCCGACAGATTATACTAGACTACTGTACCTTCCTCCTAACAGATCCCTCCCATCCAATTTATTCTCCACAATGTACCTGCATGTTCACTCTAAAATGGAAAAAGAAAATGACACTTTATTGCTTAAAATCCTTAAAGTCAAACTCCTTAACATGGATTAGGCTGCTCTACTGTCTAGCCTCTATTTTAGGGCTAGTGTTCCTCTCTTCTGCTACAGAAACACTAGGAACAGTATACAGTCATGCACCACAGAATGACGTCTCAGTCAATGACATATACTATGGTGGTCCCAGAAGATTATAATGGTTATAACCATATAACCTAAGTGTGTAATAGGCTATACCATGTAGGTTTGTATAAATACACTCTGTGATGGCACACAATGACAGAATCATTTAATGACACATTTTTCAGAATGTATCCGATAGTTCCGTATGAAAAAATATATTCTCTCTTTCCCCAGCTCTCTCTTGACCTCCATTTCAGGTCTTCGCCTAACTGGCAGTTCCCCGAGGAAGTTCCCAACCACTCTAAATTCGAGGTCAGTGTTTGCCCTCTGGTGCTCACTCAGCAATAACATACCACATTCCCCCATCACATCACTTATCTCAATGTATTATTCTTGTCTGTCCTCCACTAGACTATATATTCTATGAAGGCAATAGTTGTGTATTATGTTCCACGTTGCATCACCATACCTACAACAATGCTGAGCAAAAAGTAGATGCTCAACAAGTATTTACTGAGTAAACCAATGAATGATGCAAACAGAAATAGTCACTAAAATAACTTGATGGGTCGAAACAGAGAAAATGAGGTAAAATTATAAGGAATACTTCAGAATTTTTTACTACCTCCTTCAGTACTGTACAAGGCTTTTCCAAAACATAAATAATATGGAAATTGTAATTTAGTAGGCAAACATTAGAATTTTCTCTCACTTATATATAATGATTCAGAGATAAGAGAACTAGAACAGATCCCAGAAATCTTTAGTCCAGTGTTCTAACTTGGCCAAAGAAGAAACTATGTCCTGTGAATATTAAAAGAATGTGCCCAGTGTCATACAGATTATTAAGTTCTACAATTCTCAGCATATAGTGCTGTCATTCCTAGCAATCACTGTTTATTTGTAATATGCAGTAAAAGTAACAAGATTCCGTAATGACTGTGTGATGAGAAGATCTAAGAGGAATCAAGATTCCATTACTTGGAAAAATAAGTACTACCCACAGAGATGGAAATATATTGCATAAAGCAGTTTTAAGAAGGAAGTAAATAGTTTATGAAAGGAAAATAAAGAAATCCAATAAAGAATATAACAAATAAGAGAATCAGTAAGTTGGTCTCATCTATTAATTGTTTACAACTCAACGATCTTTTCTGAAAATTTCTTCTTACATATGTTGCCATCTCTTTGGCACAGAAAACTCTCTCCATTTGAGCTATGCACACTTGATATTGAGGGTCCTTTCTCCTTGTTGCTTGAAGAAGTCTACACAGGGCTAAATATAGTTGTAACATCATAAAATTCATGGAAGATTGAAAGGCAGTGCACTATGACCTTGTAACGAGCTTTCTTTTATATAATGTGAACATGAATATTTTATGATACTTTCAAGCCATTATTAATTCCTAATGAAAACAAACATCCTCTCACACCTATTGATTTATGA